GGCGGCAATTCGAATGGACAATTTAATGTTGGATTTTGCTACATAAATGGCATAGGCACAGACAAGGATGAAAAAAAGCATTTGTGTGGTATTTGAAATCTACTGAAGGTGGCAATTGAATGGACAATTTAGTATTGGAAACAGCTACATGAATGGCATAGGCATAGACAAGGATGAAAAAAAGCACTTGAATGGTATTTGAAATCTGCTGAGGGTGCAGATTCGAATGGACAATGTAATGTTGGATCCTGCTACAGAAATTATGGCATAGGCACAGATAAGGATGAAAAAAAGACATTTAAGTGGTATTTGAAATCTGCTGAATGTGGTGATTCGAATGGACAATTTAATGTAGGAATCTGCTACGATAATGGCATAGGCACAGATAAGGATGAAAAAAAGGCATTTGAGTGGGTATTTGAAATCTGCTGAAGGTGGTAATTCGAATGGACAAAATAGACTCAGATGGTGTTATAAATATGGCATAGGCGCAGATAAGGATGTAAAAAAGCATTAGGGTGGTGCTTGAAAGCTGAAGGTGGCAATTTGAATGGGCAAGATAGTCCTGGATGTGTCATCAATATGGCATAGGCACAGATAAGGATAAAAAAGGCATTTGAATGGTGGCAATTTGAATAGGACAATTTAATGTTGGATTCTGCTACGATAATGGCATAGGCACAGGCAAGGATAAAAAAAATCATTTAAGTGGTATTTGAAATCTTCTGAAGGCGGCAATCTGTATGGACAATATAATCTCGCGGTATGTTTTGAGGATGGCACAGGCATAACTAAAGATGAAAAAAAGGCATTTGAGTGGTATTTAAGATCAGCCGAAAATGGTAATTATAATGGACAATACAAAGTTGGATTATGTTATCGAAATGGTTATGGAACATCGCCTAATCAAGAAGAAGCTATTGAATGGCTGCAAAAATCGAATTCTCAAAAGACAGTTGATTCTGAAAATCTTGATGATTCACTGAAAAAATTATTATCTGGTAATAATTTATTAATCTCATGGATTCCTTTTAATGAATTAAAGTTTCTTGAAAAAACTGGAAAAGGTGGATCTGCAATTGTGTATGCTCCTTATTGGAAACGCAGAAGTCTAAATGGTAAAACTTTAGGCCAAATAGTTGCACTTAATTATGGATCAAAAAATAGTTACGAGGAACTTAATCGGGAAAATTAAATAAGTGCAAATTTGCAAAAATCTGTATTTTAACAGATTTTTGAAGAATTGTTGTAAAAAATCTGCAAAAGTTTTTAGAATTTGAAGTTTTGCACAGAATTGCATCTAATTTCTGCATTTATAGTATAAATTTTGAAGTTTTGCGCAGATTTTCATTTGATTTATTATTTAATTTTTTTGCAAATCTGCGCAGAACTGCAATAAAAAAAACATCCCGATGTTGTAAAAGAGGTAAATATTTGATCCGTTAAAGTTTTATTGATTTAGTTATTGTTATTCATTGACATTTTGTTTTTTTTTAAATTTATAGTTAATTGTATATTCAAATATTGGATCCAAAAATCCTACATATTTACAATACTATAGAATATCAAAAGATGAAAGCACAGATGAATATATTTTAGTTATGCAATATGCAGAAGTAGGATCTTTACGTAAGAATCTTTATGAAATTGCACAAATGAAATGGGATAAAAAAAATTAGAATTATTATCTTATATCGTATTCGATCTTCAATTAATTCATTCTAATAATATTATTTACTGTGATTTGCATAGTGGTAATATATTTCAAGATGATTTACATAATGCTTATATCGGAGACTTAAGATTTGCAACATCAATTAATAAAACACTCGATAAAGAGCCTAGAGGAATTTATGGAGCTTTACCATACATTGCACCAGAAGTTTTGCAAGGAAAGCCATTCACAAAAGCATAAGATATCTATTTTTTTGGAATGATTATGTGGGAGATTTTTTCAGGAAATGTTGTAGTTTGCAACTAAAAAGATAATAATTTGAGATTGGCGTTAGAGATTTGTGAATGTTTAAGACCAGCTATTATCAAAGGTACAGTACATGCTAAGCAAATCTTTAAAGAAGTGTTGGGATAAAGATCAAAAAAACGACCATCAGCTATAGAAATTTATGAAACTATCTTAAAATGGAAAAATAGTACTGAAATTGTTTAAAATCTGATGAAGAAATAGAAATTAAAATTATAGTTTTGATAATATGAAAGATAGCATGTTTCATTTATTAATTATGTTAATCAGCAGTCACTTAGAAGGATAACCGCGGATGAAATTACTTCTAATAATAATATTTACATTGGAGATATTAGAAAGTATAAAATAGTATTAATATATTTGAATAAATTTCAAAAAAGAAACACATATATACTGTATTTACCAATAAATCATGAGGGCACTGACATTTATTACGTAATATTTTAGGGGTGGGGTTAAGCGCGTACTATATCAATATCTTATGTTACACGAAGAAATTAGTATAATCATAAATTGGCCAATCATATTGGATCTTATGTGGGGTGGAGGGGGAGTCCTCATAATAAATGGATATTACGTAATAAATGTCAGCGCTCTAATGACGACCTGCATTATGAGTACTTTCTATGTTATATTCATAATCTCAATATCTCAATATAGGTTATTACCTGCATACATAATTACGATAAAACCTCAACCATTACTGTATCATAAAGGTGTAACTACCGATACGGTGTCAGACCCGAAATCAGTGAGTCTGTTGCTAAACCGAAAGGAGGTCCGTGTAACCAAGCCTAGATTACTTTAGGGTCGAAAGAGGCGTGTTAGGTTTGGATGAGTGGTTAATAAACAAATGTATGTAGTTTATAGTTATGTTTATAGACTTAGGTACTTTATTATTAGGTAAATCTGGTGTTAACTGTCTTCCCAAAGGGCCAACAGGCCTTTATTTATAATTAACACATTATTTATTTTTACATTCAGAATACACCATTTTCCCAGAATTACCCTTATTACTGTAATTATTGGAACTATTGGAATTCGCCTTATTCCCGTTTTTCATCTAATTCACCGAATTTCTCTAATTCTCATAATTCCGGGAATTCCTGGAATTCCGCCGGTAAACCCCAATTTGGAATTACCAGGTCATGCGGCCACATGCCTACGGTCAGATCATGTTTCCGGTCTCACATTTCTACCTGGCTTAGTTTATACCTTCCAGGTATAAAATTCACAGGTCGCATAGGATCGGAGGTTGGAGCTTCGTGGAATAAGATCGTGAGCTTATTATTGGAGTGCCGTGATATTTCTTTTCTGGCCAGGGCCTTCCTCCAGGATCGAAAATTCACGTGCTGGACCATCGCATTGGTAAGTATTGGAAGGCTTCGTAGATTATTCTTCCATAGTTTGTTCCTTTCCCAACTAACCATGATCTTTCTTTCCTATTTTTCTTCTTTTGAGCTTGCAATAGATAGTTTTCTATGGGTTTCTTCTTATTCTTAGATCTGGGTGTACACACTTTTTCTTCGGTTTGGGGGCTATTCGTCACATTTAACTCTTGGGGGTCTTGTGGCGGTCGAAGCAGTTGTTCTTGGTCTTTTTTGGGGCTTCCGCATCATCAGGATTGACTTCACCATCGGCAATTTTATGTCTTTCAGGCTTTTTCAGCTCATACGGATTTTTATTCATAATTGTCCTTCTAAATTCTTCGGCTCTCTTTATTCAGGCTTCACAGGCGAGGTTTAAGAGACTTCGTTCATATCTCACGGGTTCATTTGAATCTTCACCTTCAGACTTGCTGGTAACATTTTTAAAGTTTTTAATCTTTTCCATCCAGGTTTTACATGCCCGTTTGAGTGCTTTATGCTCGGCCTTTTCCTTGTCATTTTCGGATGCCTTAGGCCTATCTTCCACTCCAATTCCGTTTTTACAACAAAAACCAAGGTTACACATTTCCTTGGCTTGGCTCATTTTGGCGGGTCTTTGATTATGGATGAGTGTCGTGTGTTCGTCCGTTTTGAATCCGACTTCAGAATTTTCTGCTTCATTATTATATTCTTCGAACGCATCATATTCATCTTTTTTGACTTGGGGTTTTCCGGTCCCATTTTCATGGCAACAATCAAGGCTGAAGGTTCCTTTATCGAACTCCATATCAGCAAGATTTTGATAGTTAGTGAATGGTTTACCTTCGTCTTTTTCAACTCTTTCATCCGCTTCGAATTTGATTTCATCTTTATTGTATGGCTCAAACTTTTCCTCTTCTTTTTCAAGGTCTTTCGTCTCGTCATCTTCGGGATTCACTTTTGTGAGTTCTTGATGGGGTTCATTTGCTTCGTGTTTCGCATTTCTGATCCCTATTTCTTTAGGTTTATTTGTTTCAGACTGAGATTCGGGGTCTTCAAGTCTTCCGAGTTGCGATATCCAAGTATCCACAATTTTGAGATAACTATCGATTAAATTTACCAGATCTACCTCAGGACCTGGCTCGGCATTTTTTTCTTGTTTCAGGCCTTCTTTCTCTCTAATTAATTCCTCACAACGACCTTTGCCTGGTACTTCTGGGTCGTGGTACGTTTTAAGGACTTCTATTATCATTAGGTTTTCTTGATTCTTATACCAGGACCTAACTAATCGAGATTCGGGGTTCTTTACCGGCTTTTTGCTCCTGGTGGTACTCTTGAATGGCTTAATACCTGGTAAATCGACACCTAGATATGCTGTTTCCTCAATGATGGTTTCTTCGAGATGGTCTTTACATCGAATAGGGTGATGATAGTTGTGGAGAACCGTCGTTGTGGGTACTTTTATGTAAGGAGTCAAGTATGCAATGTCTTCTTTTTCTTCTTTAGTTAGATCTTCTAACACTTCTAACAAAAATTTCAGGGCCCATGGCGCTTGTTCTTCGCAGATTTTCGCGTTTCCGAATACTTCATTAATGATTTCTTGGACCTTGTGGCTTGTTCCTCGATAAGTATTTCGAATAAGGCAGCATACTTCCTCTCCAACCTTCTTATAGCCGGGCATGTATAGATAATATGGCCTTCTATTCTACAATAGGTGCACCATATCCCTCTTCGGAGATTTCTTCGGGTTGATTCACTTTGGACTTTTCTTGGGGGACTTCGTGGTAGGGTCTTTTCTTTTCGTGGCCGGTTTTTGGTATTTCCGAATCCTTGGTTTAGGTAGCAGGTCTCTTCTTTATGATAAATATTTCTTCTCATTTATTGTTATTTTCTTTATCGACTTATACTGATCATTTGAGGAATTCTTTGTTATTCGTATCTCATGGTTCACCACCAAAATGTCAGACCCGAAATTGGCAAGTCTGTCGCTAAATCGAAAGGAGGTCCGTGTAACCAAGCCTAGGTTACTTTAGGGTCGAAAGAGGCGTGTTAGATTTGGACGAGTGGTTAATAAACGAATGTATGTAGTTTATAGTTTATGTTTATAGACTTAGGTACTTTATTATTAGGTAAATCGGGTGTTAACTGTCTTCCCGAAGGGCCAACAGGCCTTTATTTATAATAACTAATTATTTATTTTTACATTCAGAATACGCCGTTTTCCCAGAATTACCCTTACTACTGTAATTATTGGAACTATTGGAATTCGCCTTATTTCCGTTTTTCATCTAATTCACCGAATTTCCCTAATTCTTGTAATTCCGGGAATTCCGCCGGTAAACCCCAATTTGGAATTACCGGATCACGCGGCCACGTGCCTACGGTCAGATCACGTTTCCGGTCTCACAACGGATTAATATGAATTTCTATAAGATTTGCAAACCTCCACAACGAGACGATATTAAACTCTATTTCTAACAAGTAAAAATGCGGTTTCACTTGATAAAAGTATCAGTGAATTTTATCAATTAGATTTTTTACTTGAGTTTTACATACGGCATTGCCAAAAATAAAATTTGTGCCGCAGCTAATAGTCAATGGCTAAAGTCAAAATTAATGTCATAAGTGCCGAAAGTAATAAAATATAATTGATATATGATTGAT